TTTTCCTAAAAACGACACATTTTTGTTATTCATCCATAAACTACATGTTCTCTATCCATTTACCTGTTGGCTGGCACATCTAGGCTGGTTCTGTGTTTTGCCCACTGTAAACAGTGTGGCAGGAAGCATGAATGTGCATGCCCCTCTATGGACTGCTGACAGACTCCCTTGGGTATGTACTCATGGGATGTGTGAATCATATGGTCCTTCTTCTTCTTTTTACCCTTTCGTGAGGAATCTCCACACTTCTTTCTACAGTGTCTGCTACTTTACATCCCCCCGCCGTGTGTACAGTGTCTTCTCCTCACACCCTCGTCAGAACTCGGTGTCACTTATTTTGCCAATGATAGTCCTATTGACTAGGGTAAGAAAGAATCCTGATGTTAATGCAGTTTGAATTTCTATTTTTCCAATGTTGGATATTTTTTCATGTATTTTTTTTGTTCATTTGCACTTTTTTCTTCTTTTGAGAATTACCTGTGAGTGAATTTGCCCACTCACAGATTAGATAATTTTTATTTTGCTGTTTAACATTTTTAATTATAGATCTCTTGCTATAAATTTCCTGTTATATTTGCAGTTAGTAAATGATTCCCCATTCTATAGCTTATGTCTTCCGTTTGCTGTTCAGAACTTTTAAATTGCAATCACACTTGACGTTAACTGCAGTTACTTACTGAGCTGTTGGAAGACTTTTCAGAATGCCCTGCCTATCCCCACACCACGATTTCCCGATACTTCCTTTGAGCAGTTTTAATCTTGCAGGTCTTAGTATGTTTGATCCATTTCAAACAGATTGTTATAAAGGGTGGAGGGTAGGGATATGGCCTCATTCTTTCACATGTGGGAATCTTATTTTCTACCACCATTTCTTAAAGAAGTTGTCTTCGCTCCAATATATGTGTTTGATGCCTCAAAATGTGATAATTATAGCTATGGGAGTGCATTTCTGGGTCCTTTACTCCATTGATCTACATGTCTGTTTTTGTGCCAGTTATCTCTTGTATGACTTTTCCTGGGGTGAGATGTACACATGTTTGTTTATTCAAAAATAGGGCAACAATGATGGGTAAAAGAAAGATTTCACCAAACTTCATCTTTGAAGTATTTTTTACATGGGACTAGCAAGATCACTGAAATTGTCCCACTCCAAGCTAGTATCAGCTGGTCTTGTAATTCAGCACCATAGGGGATACATTCAAAGAGTTAATAAAATCCAATAAAGCACAAAATATCTCAATTGTATCAAAAGAACCATATTGATGGAATATGCTACACCATCTGACCTGCATTATTCTATAGTCATTTTCTATAACTCATCTTATCCTCAAATCGTAGGACCATGCTACATCTTCCCAATCCTGGAGGGCTCAACAGGGATAGCTTGCACTGTTACTGCTCCTTGGGATAAAGGGGGTGGTCAGTCCATACTCTTGCTTACTGTACCTGCCACTGGAGCTAGTTTTTCATCTAACAGGCTCTGAGGCAGCACTGTACCTCTGTATCAGCCATGCCTGGCTGCTGAAAAGACTGTGGGCTGGACAAATAATCTCTGACTGTAGATGGAGGGAGAGTCACTCTTCTTTAGGGGACTGGCCACTGGTAAGGTATCTATTCACCTGCAGTTGGCCCCATATGGGCAAGCATATGGATCGCACTAACTGGGCTCAGAGGGTATTGAAAACCACCACCAACAAAGATTCTGGGTCTTGGACCCAGGTCACCAGGCTCGAATAGAAATACTGGTACCTGTTGAATCACCTCTTGATGAACCATCTCCAAATTCCCCAACTGAATCTCAGGCTCGAGACCTGTGGACTTGTTCTGTGGTAAGGACTGACCCCCAGTTTCTTTAGGAACCAATGTCACTTGATTTACCTTGTGGAAATGTTTTAAACTCCTTCTCTCTGCAGGGAAGCCAGGAGGACTGGTTTCTCATCCTTGCTGCATTACTGGTCCTTATTTACAATTTTTTAAATTAGTTCTTCGAGAATTTTGAACAATGCATTTTGATTATATTCAACCCTCTCCCAATTCCTTCCATCTCCTTCGCCTTCTCTATACAATCAACTTTGTGCCCTCTCTCTCTCTCTCTCTCTCTCTCTCTCTCTCTCTCTCTCACACACACACACACACACACACACACACACACACACACCCCACACATATCAAGTCCAATTGGAGCTGCCTATTTCTGCTTGCATGTGTGACCTTCCACTGGAGTGTAGTGGGATGACCAGAAGCTGTCCTCCTATGGAAAACTGATTCTTCCTCTCCCAGCAACTATCAATTGCCAATAGCGCCTTGGCTGGAGTGAGACTGCCAGCCACTTCCCCTCTTCAAGCCGGGATCTGCTCTGGCTCAAGCTCATGCAGATCTGGGACATGCTGTCACCACCACTGCATTTTCATGTGTGCGGTTGTCTTGCTGTGCCCAGAAGACTCAGTTTCCTCGTAATGACCACTGATTCCGGCTCTTCCACTCTTTCTGCCCTCTGTTTAAATAATCCTTGAGCTTTATGAGGGTGTGTGTGATATACATGTCTCACTAAGGTCGAGAATTCTGCAGTCTCTCATTCTCTGCGCCAGTTGTGGGTCACTGTGTTAACCACCACATTTTTATGGTTATAATTTATGGGTATAATAAGTCATCAGGGTTCTGTTAAATCTATGTTAACTCATTTAGCACAATGTTACTAGTTAGCTCTCCCGTAGGGCTTATGACCTGTTTAGCCACAGGTTCTTCTCGCAACAGTGATGCCTGGTATGGGTTTCATCTTATAGAGCAAAATTTAAATCTAACCAGAAATGTTTGGTTACTCCCATGATATTCATGCCACTATAGCACCAGTGGGGATATTTTCCAAGCCAGTCATTATTGTAGCTCACAGCGCTCATTGCTGCATAAAAAGGATGACTAGTTTTCCCCTGCACTAATGTGTGTCCCACATTTCAGTCCTATAAGGTGATCCAGTAGAGATAGATTTTTCCAGGTTAGTACTAGCTTGGAATCTCCAAATAATATGACTTGAGTATGTGAGGTCTTCAGCAATAGGCTTTTCCTGTCAAGTTCTGGAGGGTCACCATTGGTATTGGCAATAGCCTGTTACCACAACACGGTCCAAGTATAGAGTACTGTGAGAAGAATTCTGAGTGTCTGTGAGAAAACGAGACATGAGTCTTGTGAACTCAATTTCATCAAAACACACAATTGTTCTTAGAACGTCCTTTTGTGCCCCTCCCAGGTGTATCAGATAGGAGTGAATTTACTTCAGATTATTGATCACACCAACCCTTGTTATTTGTTTATCTGCCTCTATGGAAAGACATGTTCCTGCCGCTTGACTGACACACATGGCTAGCCCCCGATTGTACACTTTACTCCTTTGACTGCTCTTAACTTTTAGAGTAAAAAATTGTCTGATGCTCTGAATAAAGTTGGCTATTACATGAGACTTTAGTTGGCCTCATTTATTGCCTCCATTCTCCCAGGTCCCACTGTCTCTGAAGCAGTGACAGCCTGAAATGTTTGGGAAGCTGTGGAACTCCAATGGCCAATAACTCCCAAAGAAGTAACCCATTCCTGGAACTGGGCTTTGTGATTTGTTAGCCTCTAGTGTCTTAGTAGGGGTAGTGTCACCCTATTATAGCATAACGCTATATTAACTCTTTATATACATGTGGTGTGTGTGCATGTGTGCGTGAGTGCGTGCGTGTGCGTGTGTGTGTGTGTGTGTGTGTGTGTGTGTGTGTATCCTTTTTCTCTGTATTTTGCAACCCTATAATCTATTTTGTGATTTTTGATTCTCTTGCTCTCTTCAGTATGTTTCATCTTTTGTTTCCAGACTTATCTTAGTCCAGGCATTACATAGAAGTTGCAAAAATATGCACTAATTGAAAAATAAATGATTTTTTTGGCTGTGTGTGACTTATGGTTTGAACTTAAGTCTAGTGAAAAGGATTAACATGTACAAAAATATAAAGAAGTAAGGATGAAATTGGTTAAATATAAGTTAGATTTCACAGGGGATTTAAAATATCAAAATTGTGGTATCATTTCCATGGCACAGAGACAATCTCTAAAAGCAACCTGTTGGCTGGGGATGTTGCAGGTTATGCCTGTTGAGGATCTGATAAAAGAAAAAAAAACTATCTCATACCAAGATCATTAAAGAGTAAATGATACTGGAAACTGTACTGTATTAAGTGAAGTAAAGTTGACCTGGTTGTTGTAGAATTTAATTATTGTAATCTGACCCAACCAAAATTATAATCACCCCCTTTTTTTAAAATAAAAAGAAACAGAACAAAACAAATCACTAGAATTAGAAGCTCTTTCTAAGGTCACTAATCTTTCTCATGCTCAACATTAACTTCTTTTGTATCATTTATTTTGTTTTGTTTCTATGGTTGTAAATATTCAATCCACACCCTTGTGAATGTTAGCAAAGTGGTCTATTACTGAGCTACCTCTCCAACCCTTTCTAGGAATTATAAACTTTCCATCAAATGTTTCTCTTTGTATACATTTAAATGTGTGTGTCTGTAGGTCATTAAACCAGAAAGATGATCATGTGAAGGGCAGAACAAATCCTAATGGAGGTGGGAAATGAGGTAATGGACTACTTTTAAAAGAAACAGAAGAAATAACTAACTGAAGGAAGGAAGGAAGGAAAGAAGGAAGGAAGGAAGGAAAGAAGGAAGGAAGGAAAGAAGGAAGGAAGGAAGGAAGGAAGGAGGAAAGAGTCAGGCAGTAGGGAAGGGACTTATTTAGAACAAAGTATAATGACACATATGTATGAAGACATTGTGATGAAACTCAATACATTGATGCTAAACTATAAACAAAAAGAAAAATACATTTTAAAACTGAATTTAATTAAAAAGAATTTCAAATGAGTTTCATTTGTCATTTAAACTTTGATGTACTGAAATTTTATATTACTCCCCTAGCAATATTTTTATGAGATTTAAATGAGAAAACAAGGGGAACCTTAAGTGTCAAGTACTCCTTCTATTTTATTTTATTTTTGCAATGAATAATCAAGACAAAACATGAATAGCAAGGAAGAAAAAAAATAAACACAATGCACTAAAATATGCATTCTTAAAAAATGATCTCATTTGACATGGATATACAATTCTACAATTGGGAATAAATCATAAATACAATGTTACCATGTTAAAATATTCACTTTTTATTATGTCACTAAAGGATTCACTGTGATCACATCTTAAAATTTTAAACCTTATTTTTTTAACTTTCTTTTTATCTGTTCTTTGTGTCCTTTACACCATGCTCTCAATCTCTCTCCCGCCATCCCCCAGAATAAAACAACAACAAAAGCCGGGCGGTGGTGGCGCACGCCTTTAATCCCAGCACTCGGGAGGCAGAGCCAGGCGGATCTCTGTGAGTTCGAGGCCAGCCTGGGCTACCAAGTGAGTTCCAGGAAAGGCGCAAAGCTACACAGAGAAACCCTGTCTCGAAAAAACAAAACAAAACAAAACAAAACAAAAAAAAAAAAACAACAAAAAAAATAAGGAACAAAATGGTGGAAAGGGAAAATTTCGTCATGAAAGCTAAAGTGTGACACAGTGGGTTTTAATTTTAAACTAATTAGTTTTTACAAAATGATTAAAGGAAACACGTAAGTGGGCTCATGCTATATTTTACTATTATACTGCACACTCTTTCAATACGGAGATCAATCTGGTTTCTTAGTTTTTAGATATACTGAGAACTTTAAATCTTTTTTCTTCTTTTTAATTCTGCTTCCTACAGTTCAAAAAAGAAAATTTCTTGGTCTCTTCTCCTGAATCTTGTGTCTGTATTCTTAAGTACTTGCCAGAAAAATTTTCTTTTTTCAAAATAATTACTAAGATATATATGGACTGATTCGTTTGTGACCAACCAGGAGGGCAGTAAAAATTTGTCCCATTGGTATCACAATTCATGGGGGAATGACAATGTTTGGAAGCACTTTGTGTTCACCAACACTAAATGACACAGATACAAAAGTGCTGAGCAGTGAAAGGCATGCTTTGAGCTTGTCTTTTCAACTACAGCCACTCACTGGTGAACAGGACATTCCATCTTACTTTTCCACTTACCCTTCACTTTTTCAGTTGGCCTCTTTCACCATAGAAACTTAAAAGAAACAAAGGATCATGAAGTAACATTTGCCATTTGACAAATCTGATTAAGACAAAGGTGTTTACCATTGAAATCAACTCTACTCACACACTCCAACTCAAGTTTACATTTTGTTAGACAAAATACACCTATCTTTTCCCAGAAGGAGCCCAAACCATTGTCCATTGGAAACATTTATATTTTAAAATGTTAAATATTGCAGGGGGTTTTAAAATACAAAAATAAGTGTTGGTCTTGGACTAGATTTCAAAAGATTTGGAGTATGTGTTCCAAAGACAATTTAGAGTTCCTGTCTCAATTAAAGTAAGATGTTGTATATGGTAAGAAATAACTGTTTTGTAACTTACTATGCTAACCTAGCCATGATGACCAGTTCCATTTAACTCCAGAGTTTAATAAAACCCCAATTAGCGGAGGCTGCACAAACAGTCCATGCTAAAGGTTAGGCATAGATTGTTAGTTGAAATGTGCTTAGTACATCATCTTTTATGGGTAGTAGATGTCATTTGGAAAGAACACGGACTATTTAAAGCTAGAAAGATGTATGCATCTCTTACTGACTATAATGATAGTGAGCGTGTTAAATTTATTCTCATCTGTAAATAGTCCGTGTGATACAAGACTTGTGTGAGAATTGTAGTATAACATTCTGTAGAGTAATGTGCATTTGACAGGTTTTATTGCTCTTTATTCTGACAAGCAAACTACAATCAAATCAGTAACTGTAACTTGTTGTTGTTTGAGACAGGTTCTCTCAGGGTGACTTGAAATTCATTATATAGCCAGGTTGGCCTTGAATTTATGGCGACCCTCTTGCTTCAACCTCCAAAGTTCTGGGACTACAGGCATGCACTAACAAGTCAACTTGTAACTCTGTTTTGATTGGTAATTTTTTTCAGTTGTTAATTCTCATTTCATTCCAAGAGATACTTGCAAGCAAATGTCTCCAGTTTTTTAATTAAAAAAGATTCATTTTTATTTTATATTTGTGAGCACATTACCTGCAGGTATAGATATATACCACGTGTGTGCCAGGTGCCTGTAAATGCAGGAAGAGGGTATCAGATCCCCTGGAACTCAAGTTACAGATAGTTGTGAGCTGCCACGTGGGTCTTGGGAAATGAACCCTGGTTTTCTGCAAGAGCAGTCAGTGCTCCTAACTCTGGCCATCTCTTTGGCCTCAAATATCGACAGTTTGGAAAGTAGAATAGTGTATATCGTCATACCTCACAATTTATACTTGTTTATCACAAAATATCTGTCATGTATTTGTGATACAGAGTCTAAGGGCAGGCACATCGGATGTAGAAACTTTAGGACACATTTATTTCAAATAGCTTTTATTCACATAGGGCTAGAGGAATATCTAATTAGTAAAAAACACAAACAAAAAGGGCATCATTTTTCTTTTTAACACTAACAACATCAACAATCCTTTGGGGCATGATACTGTGTTTCCAAATCCAAAAGAATAAGAAGCAGAGAGAAGGTGAACACTTGGAAAGCATGTTCAACAATGGTGCTGTTATTAGCTATAAAACCTTTATTAGGTAATTACCTTGCACATCTGGGGACACATCACTGGCAGAACAAATTTATGTTTGGCAATGTATACTTTTCTTTGCAGTTCTGGGTGACAGATTTTGATGAAAGCCAAAAAATTAAGGGCAAAAGTACTTGGTCACAGAGGACAACCAACTGATCTTATTACAGTAACAGATACAAGACCACAATACAAAAGACACATCCACATTACAGGAATGAACCAGAATGTCCACAGTATCTGCACTCACTCCAATAATCATGGTCTAGCATTCAACCAAAAAAGTAATAAATTATATATATATATATATATATATATATATATATATATATATATATATATATGCCTGAAATGCCCAATTTAGTTATAATATCAGGATGTTTGTTTTGAATGACACAGATTGCCAACAAAAAGGTCACTAATTTTTGACAGCACACTTGATAAACCCTGCCATCACTGAAAGGGCAATTTCATCTCACCCACCTTCTGGGAGGTCTGCACAGAGTCATCCAAAAAGAGTCTGAGAACTTACAACTTAGCAAGCGATAAAGAACTTTTTCCTTTCTAAAAACAACTTTGCATACACACAGAATTCTCTTCAGATTATAAAACTTTCAATTCTTTTGTGATTTTTGTTATTTTATTTCTACTAAATGTTAGTCAATAAAGAGCTCAATCCAGACATGACTGCAACAACTTTATCATTGTTATAAAATGCTATCTTCTCGAAAGGGCAAAGGACCTGACCACAGTATCCCTGAAGACAACTGACCGTATACATGTGGGATCGTAATGTGCCCCTAATGTGCTTAAGAACCAAACAGGAAAATTAAAAGGAGTCCATTTCTTATTTAATATGTCAGGCTTTTTTTTAATTGCCGAAATATGTAATCTTTTAGGTTCTCCTTTGCCATTTTTACTTCAGGTGGTCATGTGTACTTGACGGTTTGTCTCATGTCTTCCAAAGGGCATGGAGAGTGTGCACAATCTTCCCTGTGTGACAACGAACGTCATTCAATTGATAGTAGCAAAAACGGTGGAAGATATTTGACACAAAAATAAAGTGCTGCATTAATCAAAGAAAGTGGCAAGCTCCGGGTACAGAATAAACCCAAGCTTGGGTATCATTTTGGGTAAAGCTAGGTAAGTCAGGTGTCTCTAGATAAGGAATAAGTAAAAAATCACAATCAAGATTATAGACTAGGTTTAGAAAAAGTGCATGAAGGCACATAAGCCAAGTGGGATCTCAGAAGAGAAACTTGCAGGGTAGCCTCTGCTTAGGAAACATAGAGTAGAGAGGACTCAAAATTACTCTGATTGTTTAAATATGCCAATTTGGTATTGGCAGGCAAGCAAGGGAGACCGAGTCAAGGGAAAGGAAATAATTGGTTAGAAATACTGGCACTGTACAGTGTGTTATGTATTTTCTAACTGTTCTAGTTTGAGACTTAAGACAGTTTCAGAAATTATAACCACTCTAATACCTTATCATCAAGATAAAGTCCAATTAGCCTTAGATCAATGGTCTAAGATGTGTCTGATGGAGTTACTCCCAACATACTTATTAATAATGGACACACTCATTCCTTTATATATTTCACAAGAGCTGGTAGAGATGTTGTAAGTGGTATATGTATATGTAAGTGGTATATGTATATGTATGTATATGTACTGTGACTGGTCTGGAGAACAGAAATTCTATGGTCTTAGGTATATATAACAGGAACACAGAAGGGGTGATGTTGAGTATGACCACAGCAATGGCCAGCTCTGCAAATAATGGAAAGCCTTTGTTCTCTACCTCAGATAATCTGTTTTTCATTTCTTTTGGAGGTAAAAATGGCATCTTTATGGAAGTAGTACAACAGATAGGTCATTCGTGCCTCTCTCTCTCTCTCTCTCTCTCTCTCTCTCTCTCTCTCTCTCTCTCTCTCTCTCTCTCAGCAAGCACATGATTTCATTTCCAAAAGCAGGAAATGAATTTTAAGACAGATAAGACTAGAAAAAGATAATGTCACACTTAGACAGAATGGCTATTCCAAGCTCAGAATGAATAATTTTTACGAGAGAAAATTTTGGCTTCTTTTTGGGCTGTTAGATTTCAACACTAGCATCCACTGAAACAAATAGAGAAAAAATTTTGAAGAGAGAAATAGTAAAAACAAATTAAAGAAATGAATTAAATTTTTTTAAAAAAGCTTTAAAGTGCTAAATGGAGAGGAGTTTTCTTCTAGCTGCCTCTCAGGACCATCCTCCTTTACTCCCACAGGGAGTCCGTAAAGATACCAGCAAATTTACAAAGTTTCATGATGGACCTCTAGAAATAAAACAGGTCTGAACTATTGGGAGACACTAGTCACATATTTTTTGAAATCTTTGTGGGAGGAAATGGCTCACTTTCAAGGCTACTGGATCTTTAGTTAGATGAATGAAAAAGGCCTAGTGGGTCATAGTTGACACCGAAGGCACCATTTCTGTTCCTAGGACTGTAGATGGAAATGTCAGTTGTGGGAGTTTTCAGACAAATACATCTATTATCTCCAAAATCTGAGCTCTCTCTCCAGTATGGATAATTTCAACTAGATTAAAATATTTAGAAATATTTTTCCTCCAATATTTTTCCCCATTTGCTAGTCAGTAGTAACAAACCCTAAATTTCCATTAATATTCATATTTGCTCATTCCTTATAAGGGTTGCTTCATTCGGTCGAAAATAAAACATGAAATTATATAGAAAACAAAAGTGATTATCACATTTCTCTTTGTTACTGTCACTTAAACTCAGTATTTTTTACTCATATATTTCTCAAAAATCAGTATTTTATTTCAACGTGTGTGTGTGTTTGTGTGTGTGTGTGTGTGTGTGTGTGTGTGTTATGTTAGACTGTGAGGGAATTCATGGGGTCATCTTTCAAAGGGTGGGTCAGAATGAGACCCATGAGCCATAATGCTTTTCCATTAGCCTGTCAATGGGGACCATTGGGAACAATAAAAACTAAATGTGTGGGTGAAGAAAACTATACCAGTTGAACTACTTGTTTAAAAGTGCTGGTCAGCTCCAGAAGAAATGTTGATATTTTCTGCCCTTTGGGGCCACACTCCATCTTTAAGGGTGCATGTAATCAGGTGCAGTATCACTCCGCTCTTAACGACTAAGTTCAGCTGCAATCATTCCCCACCAGGGTTTATCTGCCTTTCTCGAGATTCTAATAATTTGCATTGCAATCAGTTAGGTGTGTTGTCACATGGTGGAAAGGAAGTGCATGATTAACTCTTTCATAAGTATTTTAAAAATCTAAATTACGCAGAGATGTCCTTGTGATTCGGCTTCACCAGACTGACAAGTCACCTTAGGAGGTCATGTTGTCACAGGAACATCAGTGAATTGATATACTTGTGTGACCTTGTTTTGTCTCATTAGCCAGCATCTAATATATATTCTCAAGGATAGGGAAGTGTAACTCTGAAGTTGATTTTAAAGCTTCACAATTGTATAGCTTTTTGAAGTATGGTAACTTTCCCCCTTTTTAAAGTGAGAAGGTCTTTTGTAAGCTTTTAAGCCTTTGGTTTTCTTTAAGTAAATTTCCTCAATTACAAAAAAAGAGAGGAAGAAAAGAAAAAAGAGCTAGCAAATATAATTGGCATGAATTTCTCTAAAACATCAAGAAAATGGAATTTACAAAGAAATTTATTACAATTATGAGTCTAGATTGACTTAACCCTTACGCAATGAAAGTAATTTTTACCTAATACTGAGTTACATTCAATTTCAGATTTCCTATTTCAAAGGGTATCTCAAATTTCTAAAATGTTAAACCAAGTACCAAGCCATTTTTGTATATATAATAAAAGTCTTTAAAATTAAAATGGTAATCCTAAAAAAACCAAGTGCATGAAAAATGTGGTCTGAGTGTCTAACAAAGGGGAGTTATGTAATTCTACGTGAGTGAGATCTTTCATCTTTGATTTACAGGTTGGAGTCCTCACTAACTAAAACCACATTGCTCCATGGCTTTCATATCTCGGCCTTCTCTAAAACCTTGTTTTAATTAAGGTCTCTTTCAGATTTCTGAATAAAAGCATGACAATCTTCACTTATGGCTTCAATATATCCTTTGAGTTAGGAAAATATATAAAAAGAAACATCAATGTTCAAAAGCATTGTCAGACATTAAATATGTGAGGTATTTTACCTCACTGTCTTTAGGTGTTTGAGTTATACACTGAAATACAGTTTTCAGAGGCAGCGGCTAACTTGCTTATATTTTACTTAGTAAGCTGTTTTTAATCTCAGAAATAAATGTCCTTTATTTTGAACCTTTGCTAGAAAGGCTACCTGTGCAAAGGTTAAATGCTGTGTGAGTTTCCATGGGAAGGCACGACTCCTAGCTTAGCCCCATGCAAAGGGACTCCAGATCTTTGTCATCTTTGTTGACATATTTCTAAAATCTGGAAAACTCGGTGGCATCACTTAAGCCATATGCACTAAAATAGTTTCACAGAAGAATCAGATAACGAAAAGTGGGTGCATCTGAAAAGTAAATAATGCAAATCAAATACTAAAATCCCCTGAGTATCAGGGAGATTTGTAATTTTTCTAAAAGAAGGAGGAAGTAGTGGGACCAAGAAAGAAAGTTGAGAAAAGGTGTGCTAGATAGATCGGGAGCAAACTACAGTCCTTGAGAAGTAATGTGCTTTTCACAGCTGCACATCCCCTAAGGGATGCACCTCCAGAGCCACTGTCCTCAAGATGGAGTTGCATGGGGGTGGAGAGACTTCACTCCCTGACAAAACTGCAAGTCCCTATCCTGTGAGAACTTGAAACAGATGTAAAATTCCAATAAGGTGCCCACTGCACACTGTAGGGACAGTGTGCAAGTTCCTTTGGACTGTCAGATACATTGTGATTCTTTCCCACTAGAACAAAGCCTCATCCCAGCTCCATCTTGAACTCTTACCAGAAAGGATGGAAGTGTGTTAGAACAAAGACAAAAAAAAAAAAAGAAAAAGAAAAAGAAAAAAACCCAAAACAAAACAAAAGAAAAAATCCCTCAAACCCACAGAAATCTGTCTGTAATTCCCATCCACTCATAGCTGGAAAGAAACCCTGTAAACAATTTAAGTCTACTTGACAGTAAACTACACAATAAAACACTGATCATAATGTCAGGAATGAATATGTCTCAGGTTTTGCCTCGAACTTCACTGGCTGTCACAGCTTCTGAAATGGACAGTACCTAGCACTGTATTGAAGATTTCTAGCTCACACCGTGTCTGGAGTGGGTCACCAGCATAAAAGCATGCTGGAGGCAGTTTCTTCCAGTCCTGGTTACTGTAACTTTAGAATCACAGTGGTTACATTTCAGGAATCTGTAATGCCCTTTCAAGTCCATCCAAAGAAGAAGCGAAGCTGCTGTTCAGAATTCTGTGCCCAGTGTTTACGTTCCATCAATCCGTGCCACCCAGGCAGCAGACATGGCTGAGGGTGCTGGGGTTGGGGGGATACACAATGATGTCACACACAGGAAATATCGGGGGAGACTTGGCACTTCACAGGGCTGGTTCCTCTTCCATGGGCTCACCAGCCGTTCTGTAAAAATAAACAGGCAATCAGAATACGGCACAAGAGTACACAATGGCATTGTAGACTTTCATGCACAATCAAAGCTGATTTTTCAGCTCTCTCCCATGTTTATTTGTGTCATTCAGTTATCCATAAATAGAGTTTCTTTCCTAGGCAGTATAAACAAATGTCAAGTGGAAAAACATTTTAGATCCAGGCAATCATTGGAAATGTTCCTGTTTATATTAAAACATGTCAGAATATTTTATAACTCTAGATTCCAAAATGTACATGTTTTGTGTCTTGGACAGTCCAATAATTTATTGAAAAAATTAGCTATGATATCCTATTTTAGGAGCAATGCAGTGATTTCTGGAACCATTTTTGCTAAGGAGAATGAAGGATTCAGCTAGCTTCTGGAGCAGGCTCATCCAGGCTCTGGGTTTTGCTTCTGTTTTTTTCATAACTGGATTGGCTTCCTGCCGGAGGCATTCAAATCAAATTCTGAATTTGATTAGCAAATCACTGCTACAGACCTAACATTTTTATAAGAAATGCACTATGGTAGTATATAAATCGTTCGTATTCAGCATTATAAGTGGTGTGTTCTGCTCAGCTAAAAAACCAAAGCTAATTGCTTGAAAATTATAGTTGAGAGTTAACCTTAATTTAGTAACACACTGAAAGTGTTTTAAGGCAAACTTTTACAATGATTTTTAATTCAGTCTAAAGTACAAATTGTAGCAGAAATCTGAATACATTAGGTACTTGGGTTGCCCTGGGAAGTTGGGGGATTTGAGATGCTGGGATGATTAAGGTTGAGTCTGAACTCTACAGGCTAGAAATGCAGTGACTGCTAACTACAGCACTAGGCTCTGTGAAACCCAGTTTCAGGTATGAACCCTGAGGAGAAAGATGCTCCTGACAGGATTAGTGAAGAAAAAAGTAATAATAATGACAAAGAAGGATGTACAAACGACAAACACTGGAATACGTTGGATCCATTCCTTCATTATCCGTCATGCACATAGAATTATGTCAAGTGACACTTAAATGCAGTGTTGTGCTTATGTTGCCAGTAGGGGCACAATACACAGGCTGCAACTCTCTCCAGGGGATAGCACAATGGGTAGATAGATGATTTTGCCTTCGTGGTGTCTACTTGAGCCGTTCTGTAACGGATCACTTTCATATGAGAAACCTTAGCATGCAGGATGTGCAGCAATTGTGGAGACAAGCAGGCTTAAAAGGAAGAGAGCAAAGATTTCAATTAATCTTCAATTAAAGTGATTCTTAGTCAAGTAGCATTTTTTTTATTACAAAAATATGAAGTAAATATATTTTCTTCATTTTCTCAGTCAAATCAGCTTAAAATTCTCATCCCTATTTATTTAACATACTAAAAAATTCTTATCTATTCTTTTTTTCTGTTTTTTTTAAACTTTTTATTTTTATTTTGCAATACAATTCAGTTCTACATATCAGCCACAGATTCATTCCCTTGTTCTCCCCGCTCCGGCTCCCCTCACCTTCCCCCCAGCTCACCCCCCATTTCCACCTCCTCCAGGGCAAAGCCTTCCCCGCGGACTGAGATCAACCTGGTAGACTCAGTCCAGGCAGGTCCAGTCCCCTCCTCCCAGGCCGAGCCAAGCAATCCTGCATAGGCCCCAGGTTTCAAACAGCCGACTCATGCAATGAACACAGGACCCAGTCCCACTGCCTGGATGCCTCCCAAACAGATCAAGCCAATCAGCTGTCTCACCCATTCAGGGGGCCTGATCCAGTTGGTGACCCCTCAGCCATTGGTTCATAGTTCATGTGTTTCCATTCGTTTGGCTATTTGTCTGACCTACTCTGGTGATGGGATGGCCAAACACCCTAATTGTCGTGCTAGAAACCCCATCCAACTACTGAGGGATCTGGATGCAGAGATCCACGGCTAGGCCCTGGGTGGAGCTCTGGGAGTCCAATTAGCGAGAATGAGGAGGGTTTATATGAGCGAGAATTGTTGAGACCAAGGTTGGATAAAGCACAGGGTCAAGTAGCATTTTTAATAATAAATTAAAAACACAAAATACATTGTCCTTGGAATGACAATAGAAAGATTTTAACATATCTTTTAGAAAATGAAGAGTAAAAATATTAGACATTCATTACTCAACGTTGTCTAAAATGCAGAGTCCTAAAAGATTCCATGAGTAGTAATTTAAAAAAAAAAAGGAAAAAAAGAAAGAAAGAAAAAAAATTTCTTAGGAATGCCCAAGAATGTTCAAAATATAGGAATTGAGGATATATTTAGGCTTCATCTATAAAAGAGAAAAACAATTAAGATGATTCATAGTTAAGATTTGTCTCTAATCATATTGATCAGTGTTTGAAAAAGAAAAATCAAATTTAAGAAAACACTTTCATTTTTTAAAAAATTACATATGAATATACAAACTTATTTATATCTGATAATATATGGATCAAAACTTGAAGAAAAAGCTAATGGACACCAAATCATCCCATTTCTAACCTAAAGCCACAGTAGAATAATCTTTCCAGACACAGGCATCCTGGAATCAGTGTGACTGGAATTCCACAGAAATGACCCAGTCATCAGATGTGAAGGATGCTTGCTGACTCTTGGTGGAGGAACATGCATTCTCCACAGGCACAACGGAGGCTTTGACTTCTCTCTTGAAACATGTGTGGGTAGAATATAAAATTGTCTATTCAAAGAGTCCTGTCCCTGTGCTCTCTATAGAATCACTATAACTCTATGGAATCTCTACAGAATCTCAGCTAACTCAAACCAAGCAAGTGAAAGACCTGTATGACAAGAACTTCAAGTCTTTGCAAAAAGAAATTAAAAGATGGACTACAGATCTAAACAGAGAATTCTCAAATGGCCGAGAAACACTTAAAAAAATGTTCAACATCCTTAGTCATCAAGGAAATGCAAATCAAAAGGACTCTGAGATTCCATCTTACACTTGTCAGAATGGCTAAGATCAAACACTGATTGATGACAGCTTATGTTGGAGAGGATGTGGAGCAAGGGGAACACTCCACTGCTGGTGGGAGTGCAAACTTGTACAGTCACTCTGGAAATCAATATGGTGGTTTATCAGAAAATTGGGAATAGATCTACCTCAAGACCCAGCACTACCATTCTTGGACATATAGCCAAAGGGTGTTCCATTCTACCACAAGGACACTTGCTCAACTATGTCCATAGCAACTTTATTTATAATAGCCAGAAACTGAAAACACCCTAGATGTCCTTCACCCAAAGAATGGATAAAGAAAATGTGGTACGTTTACACAATGGAGTAATATTCAGCTGTTAAAAAAATTAACACCATGAAAATTGCAATCAAATGGATGGAACTGGAGAAATTCACCTTGAGTAAGGTAATCCAGATCCAGAAAGACAAGCATGGTATGTACTTACTTATAAGTGGATGTGATAGTTTGAATGTAATTGTTGTAATTGGTCCCCATAAGCTCATAGGGAGTGGTACTATAAGGAGGTGTGGCCTTGTTGGAGTAGTTGTGGCCTTGCTGAAGGAAGTTTGTCACAGTGAGGGTGGGCTTTGAGATCTCCTATGCTCAAGCTATGCCCAGTATGGACACAGACTCTTTCTCCTGCCTGCGGATCAAGATGTAGAACTCTCAGCTCCTTCTCCAGCACAAAGTCTGCCTGCAGGCTGCCATGTCCCACCATGATGATAACCATCTAAACCTCTGAACCTATAAACCACCTCAATTAAATGTTTTCCTTTATAAGAGTTGCCATGGCCATGGTGTGGCTTTACAGCAATAGAAACACTAACTAAGACAGTGGATATTATCTTGAAAGTAAAGGATGATCATGTTATAATTCACGGACCTAGAAAGGCTAAATAACATGGAGGGCCCAAGCAAGGGACTCATGAATCTCCCTGGGAAGGATAAATAGAATCAATATCGCAGGTGGACTGGGGGTGAGTGGGGACAGGAACATGAGGGATCAGATGAGGGGAGGATGGAGGGAGAGAGTGCAAGTGGAGGCAACTAGAATTGGGGAGAATTTCAGGGGTGAGGTAGAAAAATTAGTGTAATGGAAACTCCCAGGAATCTACGAGAGTGACTCTAGCTAAGACTCCTACTAATAGGGGATACAGAGCCTGAATCGGCCTTCTCCTGTTACCAGGCAAGACTTTCAGTGGAGGAAATGGGACACCAAACCAGCCACAAAATCATTGACCTACAATTTGTCCCCTATTCAATATGTGCTGGGATATAGGTGGCCCAAAAATTGTGGGAGTGGCCAACCAATGACTGGTCCAGCTTGAGACCCATGCTACCAGAAAAAGCCCATGCCAGATACTGTGTGGAGGACCAGGAATCAGAGGCTGGATAGCCCAGAGACCTAGGATAGAACCAAACATGACTGGCAAAAAAAAAAAAAGACAATGAAATGATTCTTAATGATACTTGGCCATACTTGTAGATCGAAACCTAGCATAATCATCCATCAGAGAGGTTTCATCTGATGGAAACAGATGCAAAGATTCACAATTAAACATTAGGAGTATCTTAGGGAATCCTGAGGAAGATGGTCAGGAAGTATTGTAGGAGCCAGAGGGGTCAAGGACACCACAAGAAAACCCACCGAATTGACTAACCTGGACTCATAGGGGTTCACAGAGACTGATCTAACAATCAGTGCGTCTGTATGGCTCTCACTTGAGTCCTCTGTATATATGTTCTATGGTGTGGTTGTGTACCCTGGTGTTTTTATGGCACTCCTAACAGTAAGAGTAGAAACTGTCTCTCTTCTGATTGCTCTTGGGACCCTTTTCCTGATACTGGGATTGCCCTGTCCAGCCTTAATATGAGGAGTCTTACTCCAAATTGTTATGCCTTGTTTGTTTGATATTCCTGGAAGGCCTGCCCTTTTATGAAGGGAAATGGAGGAAGGGTGGATCTTGGGGAGGGGAAGGTAGGGGGGAAACAGAGGAGAGAAAGGAGGGCAAGTTGTGGTCAGAATGTAATAT